AGACTACATTGGGGTATGATCGTCAATCGGGCACGTAGTGCCATGCGGACTAATGCGCAACCCTCAAATTAAAATGCATCGTCGGGGCGTCGCCCTTCTGGAGACGCTCGGATCACTTAATCAAGCTGATCGAGAGTGGGCCAACAGGCCCACGAGAAATTAAATATTCAATAAAATGTTGGCTGAACCAACCATCACCAGAGCTTCGCTCCACATTATTTAATTCGGCACATTTTATCCCTAATAAATAATAGGGATATAACAGGCAATAACAATGATGTTATCCTATCAAAAGCCATTCCGGTATGCTCCGCCCGCTAATTAAAGCCGATCAGGAGCGGGCCGACAGGCCCACAACAACCAGTCATTAAATTTAAATGACGGTGAAGCTAATTATCACTTAGAGCATCGCTCGACATTATTTAATTTCGGGAAGTTTTATTCCCTAATAAATAATGGTGATAAAAATTCCAACATAACAGTAACAGCAATCTAAGTGTCCGACATCACTATTGCAAACAAGGAGTAACACTTTAATATGTAAATGAGGGAGTTCGTATGATACTTAGCTTTTGGGGTTGAAATCTTCTACCAAGAGTGTTGGAGGCTGGTTGACCGCTCAAAATATGAGAGGGCCTCACCCATCCAACCCAGAGCATGGCAGGCTGTCTTCAACTTCCTGGACGTGGCCCTCTGTGAGCCAAGGAGCCAGACATGGAGTGTCTATCGGAAAGATCGAAGCAAGACAACCGGCGTCACTTCCGCTTGCCGGCCGCGGGTTGCCCGCCTACTGGCGGTGGTCAAGGAGGTCGCCGCGGCGCGAGGATGTCCAGAGGGGGTAATCTCCGGTGTAGGATCGGCTGAACTTCATGACATACCCTCCCCGGCCTCCCAACCTCCATTAATGGCGGAAACCAAGGAATCCCAGGAGGGATACCTCTCAGGCCGCATCGGTGGAGTGGCTGGTGGCGGCTCGAGCAGAGGCCAACCAGACGGGGAGCGGTATACGGCGGGCCGCTGAAGGCGGGCGGCGGCGCGGCGGTGGCTTCTGGCGACCTCAACCAAGGTCTGGAAAAATTCCAGATTTGGATTTCCAAATCCGTAGCCTCTTCCTGTTTTTGCTTGAATCAGTAGCTCCCTCCTGCTGCTGAAATCCAAAACCTCCAGCATCGAATTTTTTCTTCTCCCCAGATCCAGAACTTCTCATAATCATTTTTCCAGGATGTTTTTTTTTTTGTAATCAGTGCATTTTCGTATGAATTTTTCTTAGAAACAAAGAACAACGTGAATCTTTTTGGACAGATTCCCACAGACGGTGCCAGTGTTGAGTTTAATCCAACACGATATAGTAAATATATGTATGAACACTCAGTTTTTACGTGGAAACCCGAAAGGGAGAAAACCACGGGACTTTTTAGGCTAATGTCCAAGCCCTCTCATTCTCATTAATCTCTCCTCACCATTACATAGTACAAGTATTGAAGCTCCCATTAATGGAGTTCTAGCTATTCTCGTGAGAATGAGGAAGAAGGAAAAGTCATCCATAATATGGAGGGAAACTCCCATATTTATAGAGAATAGGAGAAGGGGATGCTCTCCACCCTAATGGGCCGCATGGGCCGGAGTGGGCCCAAATGACTAAAGTGGGCCGGATGGGCCGAAATGGGCCTAGCTGCTCGGGCTCCGTACTACGTAAGCCTTGGACTCCTGAACAGTAATAGGCCGGGATAATATATCCCAACACGATATAGTAAATATATGTATAAATGTGTCGTCGGGGATGGTAAATATATGTATAAATGTGTATGAACAAACTATTTTTACGTGGAAACCCGGAAAGGGAGAAAACTACGGGACTTTTTAGGCTAATGTCCAAGCCCTCTCATTCTCATTAGGACTCTCCTCACCATTACATAATACATTTTGAGCTCCCATTAATGGAGTCTTGTAAGCTAACTAAGGAGGGAGAAGAAGAAGAAGCCGATCCTTTACATGGAGGCTAAGCTCCCTATTTATAGAGAAAGGGGATGGGGATGCTCTCCACCCTAATGGGCCGCACGGGCCGGAGTGGGCCCAACTGGCTAAAGTGGGCCGGATGGGCCGAAATGGGCCTAGCTGCTCGGGCTCCGTACTGGTTAATGTCTTGGGCTCCTGAACAGTAATAGGCCGGGATAATATATCCCAACAACTATGTTATGGCGTAAGTTATTGAGTATTATTTCTTGTAACAATTACTGAGTATTTTTTGTTATTATGTCCTAAACGCCGCCGGATATAGGGTGTTTTCTCAAAATACGGGAAAACTAACAGTGAGTGCAAAATATGAGAGTTTTATTAGATTTTTAATAAAATGAGATTCAAAAAGAGGTATTCCGATAGTACATATTAGGATTTTTCTTAAACTTAGTCAGAATCCACATTCCATATGGATTTTTTTTTTACATAGAGAATCCACAATGCTCTAATGTATGCTCTATTTATAAAGTGCCAAATATCAAATAATTAAATGGCTTTCTGGTCCACAAAATAAAAAGTGAAATGCTTGGATAGTGGGGGTTAAAATAATGACTGTGTGTCTTTAATATGTAATGAGAGTGTATTTACCATCATTAAATGTCATCTCTTATGACAGAAATCCCTGTCATTAATACAAATAGTAACAACCATTTTTTTTCCTTTTTTGTCTCATTTCCATGACCAAAAATACCGTCATTAATAGAGTTATTTAATAACAAAAATGCACTCTCATTATTATTAATATTATTATTATTATTATTATTATTATTATTATTATTATTAAGAATACTAATGACAAAAATGTACTCTCATATTATATATAATATTATGCATCTCCGAGTTTTTTACCAAAGAGGTGTATTTTTGAATCTTATTTCCCAAATTAAGGTACTTCTAAACTTATTTCCCAAAATAAGGTGTTTTTTGCCATGTCATCTCATTATTATCGTGAGTAGTCACCTCATCTAATTCCAAATCACCTACTAATTCCACGTCATCCGATTTTAAGTAAAAAATATATCTTAACTAAGAAAAAGTATAGCAAACGTGATAGAGAGTTGCACATCCATTTCTATTTTATACTATAACAATTCAAATTACAATATGACAATAAGATATTCCACTCCCCCCCCTGGAACTCAGCCACCGCCTTCCTCAGGTTGTGTTTTTTAGCCAAATGGGTTTCCTTTCTTAAAATAAGAAAATTGTGATTTTGTAGACAAATAAGCCTCATCAAACAAATGTAAAGTCGAATTAGAACAGATTCAATAGATGTGAATAAGATTAATAACACAACACTGATTTATTATTCGGATCAAACTGCACTAAAAGATTGAATTATTTGGACGAAATTAAAACTGATTAGTTATTTGGAGCAATAAACTAACATATCATATGAACTTGGTCAACTACAAACTGCATTATAATTGTTACATATAACAAACACCTTGATTTTTACATAAAAGCACTCACAACTAGTTTATTGGTCATTTAAAGATCTTACATATTAGTGTTTACCTCAGTGATGATTCAAAGAAGTGATAGCAGTTCCTAAGCAAGGGAAATAGGTGCTCCGTTAGCTACTTCTCCCTGCAGAGTGTAAGTTGAAGCCATTAACCTTCTTTAAAAATAAGTAATGAGGAGTAAGCAACAACAAAAGTAGCTAGAAGATATGCAGGACAACAAAGTATAGCCTTTCTTGTAAAAGTATATTTATTGATAATATTACCTTTATTTTGAACCTGAAAATCCTTTGGTATTAATAAAATTAGCAACTGGAATGCGCTTTTATTTAACTTACATTACATTCTAGTTTTAGGTTCTTTTGTATTTTGCTTATTAATCCCTTACCAAAAAGCAGTAGATAATAGATAGAGATCTGCCTACATGTGATCTTGATAGAGACTTTACTAATTTGAAGAGAGGAGATAAATACTCTAATAAAGTGTATTCTAGAAGGAAGTAGGGTTGTTATTAGTATAGTCTGTTATGAGCTAATAACTGCCGGTGGTTAGCTTTACTTACTATAAATAGAATATATTTGGAAGTTGTTAGTAGGCTGTTTTTGACTTGTAATCGGTTCTGGGAAGATCCGAGTGTATCTCTATCTTGTTGCCTAAGTAATAAAAGCTGCCTTGAGTTCTTGAATCAATTTTGTGATCTGTTAGACTAGAATTGCAGATTCTAACATTGGTATCAGAGCACGTCGATCTTTGTGGATGGTATTGACGAGGACAAAGATGGATTTGAGGATGAACAAGCTTGATGAGAAACTGGAAAGATATCAGCAACAAAATACGGCGAGGTTGGAAACGCGAGTCGAGAGTCGATCGCGAAACAGGTCAAATACCTCCCACACTTCGCATCATCACTCTGCGCGACCTGACGAGAGTTCAGATGGATCGGAAAACCGATCGAGGAACAAGAGACATCTTCCGCGATCTGACAAACTAAGTTCGTCGCCAACGCACACAAGTTCGCAAAAGGAGTCGCGCACTGTTTATCTTAGTTTGCAATCGCGAACTTCTTCGCACCCTACGCAGTCGCGAACAGAGTATTCACCTTCGCAGACTGACTCAGCGGCTTATACTTCACGTCCAAGAAAGAATCGATTGAGAGAAAAATCTCCATTTTCATCGCAATTCGATTTTTACTGTTCGCCTTCTTCTCAAGAGGTTTCTCTCTGTTCGCAAGTATTGTCGCGAGATGGTTTTTCCCCTGCTCAAGATTTTCCCCCGTCCATAAAGAAGACTGAGAAAGAGCCAACTAAATCTGTATTCAAGAAAATAAATAAGCAGGACGAAGTCGAGGAGCAAGGGCAGGTTATTCCCTGGTCAGATTGCGTTTCTCCTAATCTTACAGATGATGTGGGTTTAAATACCAGCCAAGTTTATATTAAGGATCTGGTTATCCACCCATGTCCCTTTGGAAGTAGAGTCCTAATTGTTTCTGAAATTGTTCTTGTCAAAAATCAACTAACTTCACAACCAAAGGAAATGTTTTCAGAAAATTTATGCATTGGTAAAAGGATATCTGGTATAGAGGATCAAAAGGAGGAGGTTGAGCTTGTTTCAGGAGAATCTGCTATCATTTTTGGCAGAAATTCATTGCAACTTGGCAGTTTAGTCATTTCCAACATCTTGGCAGAAATTCATTGCAACTTGCAACCCTAAGTGTCACAAACTTATCAGGTTCTTTACTTGCTGAGGAGTTCAAATTTGTGCAAGGAAAGGGGGTAAAGTTTTCCTGCTATGATACCATATTGGATCACATAACTGAAGAATCACTTATACAAGTTGCAGAAGTTCGAGGGATGGAATTGCAGCCAATTGTTGAAAGTATGAGAAGCTGCCCCAAGTTTGGCCTACTTAACCCATGGAAAGCATCAGAAAGATATCTAAGAGTGGGAGACAATTCTGACAAGACAGGTCATAGCCTATCAACCCATGCACTCCCTGATGTTGTGGACATAATTGCGAGGGTATTACAGAGGGCGACTCTTAAGAGTTACCAGCAAGCTCTAAGCGAAGTTGTTGTTGCACCAAATATTTTAGAAAATTTCTATGGCAATCCGGTCCATTTTATGGCAAGGTCGATTGGAATGCCAGAAATTCATTTGGGAAAGAAAAGCCAGGGATTTCACTGGACTTATGATCATTTGGCAATTGTTACTTCCTTTAATGCTGCAGTGGAGCTCTCTGATTTTCAGCAGACAGGTGCATTATACAAGGGAAATAAACCTATTCTCAATTTTGACAGCAGGGTGTGCAGTATAGTGGATCCAATGATGCTTCGGGTTCATGATTGGGGAATACAGTTGGGAATAGCTGAATTCTTAAATTCAGAAGGAGAAACTCATTATGATTCAAGTTCTCTTAAACTTACTTCTGACATATGGGAGAATGAAGTTCTGCATGAGCTATTCAGTGTGAAGTTTAAGTCAAAAGATAGGGTGAAGTCAGAAGCAAATGCTAGGCTGAGGCTGGTCAGGAGTCTTTTATCTAGAGGACTAGAAGTATGGGAACATATGATACCACCATCAACTAAGTACTGGGAAGGGAGAGGCACCAGGAGGAAGCTGAATCCCAAACGTGGTTCATATCTTTCCAACTTGAGGGCAAGTTGGATTTTCAGGAGGGGAGATTTGATAGAGACTTTACTAATTTGAAGAGAGGAGATAAATACTCTAATAAAGTGTATTCTAGAAGGAAGTAGGGTTGTTATTAGTATAGTCTGTTATGAGCTAATAACTGCCGGTGGTTAGCTTTACTTACTATGAATAGAATACATTTGGAAGTTGTTAGTAGGCTGTTTTTGACTTGTAATTGGTTCTGGGAAGATCAGAGTGTATCTCTATCTTGTTGCTTAAGTAATAAAAGTTGCCTTGAGTTCTTGAATCAATTCTGTGATCTGTTAGACTACAATTGCAGATTCTAACAGATCTTCCCAAAGAACAACTAAATCTGATCAAAGATGAATTACAAAAACAGAGTCCATGAGGGGAAGTTAATGAAATATCTATAGTAAAAATATAAAAATAGAAAGGAAAATACACACAGATTTGTACTTGAGAACTTGTTAGTAAAAACCAAATACAAAATTAAAAGTAGTAATCTAATAATAATAATATATTAATATACCATTCCAAAAGTATACTTTACAGTCTGTTTGATGCATATTTTAAAGCAGGAAGGCAGAATACAGCTCAAGATTTTCATAGAAATAAATTTCAGCCTTTACTCCCAATAGAAAGAAATTCATAACATACAAAATCCAATAGAAATTCTAAGTGAAGTGTCAAGAACAGCAGAAATTGTAGTCATTCAAGCACTACTTTCAGTCTTTCAGAACCTAAATCAAACTCAAAAAACAATTTATGCATAACAGTGTAAAATGGATAAAAACTAAGCTAGGAATGTGAAACCTAGTGATTAACTAGAAAAGTCAGAGAATAATATGAGAACCGGCAAAATATAGATGAATTATGTTAATGGTTAGCGGATGTGGGCACTGGGCAATGTTTCCACTCATTTGAGCTCTAGGTGCTAACAATTTAGGAATGATAGGTACCTGGACAGATCTGAGCAATTACAGTAAAATAATCAGCAGGAATCTGATGAAGGATAGAGAAATAGGGTTTATTGATAAACGTAGATAAACCGTAGGTAACTCAGGGACAGGGACTTCTTAGGCAACAAGGCAACAAGGCAACATTTAATCAAATGACAGTCTGCCTATTATGGCTACCCCCGCTTCTATTTATAGCAAAAGTCCACGCAGGGACTAAATAGACAACTAAATAAGCTAGAGGCACTTAATAAGCTATTTAACTCCCCTAACCCCCTTATTTAAAACTACTGATTAGGCTGATGCCTAACATTACTCCCCCCCTAAACAACCACCTTGCCCTCAAGGTGGGTGATAGGAGTCAGCCATGATCTTCCGCTTGGACTTGATTCTTGCACCTCTCCCTTCCCAATACCTCCCAGCTTGCTTTCCCCTGAACTTCATTGCTTGACTTTTCATCTTCACATCTTTCAAAGCAAACAGGAGCGGAAACTGCATATAAGAACTCCCTGGAATTACACTTGAAACCTCTCCTTTGTAACCAATTTCATCATATAAAGGTTCTGCAAGATAAAACCCAGCTGCCCTTGTAGTAATTTCAGCTGCCACATCGTAGAGAACCGCAGCAACTTGATTACCCAGATCTCCCTCATAATTGCGCAGTATCTTCTCTAAAATAGAAAGAATCTGAGGGGTTTCATCACTGAAGGAATCACAGAGCAAACCAGCTTTAACCTTTACAAGGACACCCATCCATACTTCAGCTGTTCTATCAGTAGATCTCTTTAGGACTTCCAGAATTGTGGGTTGAAAAACCTCCTTGACTATACCTTTGGGCCCAACAAAGATATCCTCAAGCACATTCAGATACATAACTCCAAGGTTGCAGAATCCATGAAGCTCATCATTATCAGCACCTTTTACTATACCCGGTGCTAGTGAAAGCTCAGCTCCTTTTTCCTTCAGGTCTGATGCGCGTGTAAACAATTTTCCAAACAGACCATTAGAGGAGAATTCCTGAAACCTCTTTGCTTCCCTGACTGGTTCTGCATCCAACTTAATTAACCCAAGTATGGAGAATGAAGCCATAACGATTCTTCCCTGCAAGTAAGGTTCCACTTTCATAATTCCAACATCTTCCCCTGGCTTGGTTTCCATTAAAAGAACACCACTGGAAAAGTTCTCTTCTAAATCATTGGAGCATAAGACCATTTTGTAAGGTTGACATTTTGCTTCAGCTTCCAGTCCGTTAACAGCAGCCTGAATATTAGGGTCCAAGTCCACTCTGATTCTACCCAAATGGTATTTGAGACCCAACTCGTCAGTCCATCTCAGTTCAGCATTAGAGGAGTCCCACATTGCAGATAGTATCAAACTGAAACCCTTAACTGTCGTCCCAGATTTGACATTTAAGCGAATGAAGACTGATTCTTCAATTGCACTCCTCTTTAAGTCATTCTTCCCCAATTGCCTAGCGAAAGCATCCCAAAATAATACAACACCTTCAAACACAATAGCTTGGTCCTGATTGTCAGTATAAGCAACACTCTTCTCCATCCCTCTTCTATTAGTCAGTATGTGAACCATGTTTTCAAAACCTACACCCCCATTTAACAAAAGAATATAAACTGGTGTCCTTCCCCTAGCATTCTTAGCAACCATTCTGGCATCAATGGTAGTTCCCGATCTAGCATACACAGCAGCAGATTCCTTTTCTTCATCAGTTTGCCATTGTGATAGTGGCCTCCTGCCAACCAACACCTTGGAATCTTCAAAGTAGCGATCTAACTGTTGATTTGGAATTCCCAGAACCTCCACAACTTTATCCCTAGAAGCAATACTTTTCTCTAGATCTGCATACTTCTTCATAATGTTCACCTCTGCTATATTTTTTATACAGGTAGTCCAAGCACCCAAATCCAGAGAAATGGTTCTCAAAATGTTCCCTAATGGTGCCTCTTTCTGATATATGGCAATATCAAGTACTGACCGGTGCACTGTGGTGGCTTCATGTATAATGTCTGATGATAGTCCATTCTCTATGACTCTATGGAGTACTGCATCACCCTCTTTGCTATTAAGCCCATTAATAACATCAGTATTTGAGGTCGCTTGATGCCCGTCTACTTGTACTGTGACAGTAGTATTGGAATCTTCAGTTAATTCATATTCAATGGCACTAGAGGCTTGAGTTACCACATAAGACTTCTCCTCTTGTCTTTCCTCATCCTCAATGAATCTATCTTCAGAAATAGGTCGTGGCTGATTAATGAATTCGAAAGTGAGCTGGGAAGCTTGCCAAGTAAGAGAATCAGCTGGCCATTTCTCCTGGTTTTCATCGTTGTCCTCGTTGAGCTTCTTTGCATTTGCTCTGGCTCGTGAAACACTTCTATCAACATAGGAAGGTTGCAGCAGGTTAACCGACTCCTTCTGCAAACCTGGAGAGTCTGAGTGCGAATCAATTTGCGAAGAGGAAGAATAGGCGAGAACACTGTGCGACTTGATTTCACATGCCCTCTGCGAACTGTTAGAAGCCTTTTGGGATGACGATTGGTGAAATAGGAGTAGCGAAGACGAACTGGATCTCTGAGACGCGGCTGGAGACTCAGAAGAATCCTGCGAACTCAGAACAACTGATAGCGACGAAGTTGTTGATTGCGATTTGGGAACTTCAACGTGCGACACAGTCTGTGCAGAACTGAGAGCGGAAGTTCGCGACGCACTGGGAGATACAACCTGCGATGGAAAAAGTTGCGATGTAGAAGTTCGCATCTGCGATGCTACAGGAGATTTAGTTCGCATCTGCGAACTATTAGAAACTGGACAACGTGATGATCGCGAATGATGATGCTGTTGTGGTCGTGAATTTCTCCTGGACGGAACTTGTTCCATCATGGCTGCTATAGATGCTTCGATGTTGCTCTGAATCTGTTCCTTCATCGTTGTCACGAAGTCTGCCATAGCCGTCTTCATCTCCAGTTCGAGCTTATCCATGCGAGCCTCCATTTCTGGAGTCCAGATTTCTTCCATTTCTGGTCGCCACTTCAATCCGATTCTCAGGAGCGAATGCTCTGATACCAATGATAGGTACCTGGACAGATCTGAGCAATTACAGTAAAATAATCAGCAGGAATCTGATGAAGGATAGAGAAATAGGGTTTATTGATAAACGTAGATAAACCGTAGGTAACTCAGGGACAGGGACTTCTTAGGCAACAAGGCAACAAGGCAACATTTAATCAAATGACAGTCTGCCTATTATGGCTACCCCCGCTTCTATTTATAGCAAAAGTCCACGCAGGGACTAAATAGACAACTAAATAAGCTAGAGGCACTTAATAAGCTATTTAACTCCCCTAACCCCCTTATTTAAAACTACTGATTAGGCTGATGCCTAACAAGGAAGCTTCTTGTTTGTTTGTTTTTCACCCTTTTTCCATGACTGCTCTTTAAAAGTTAGAACTGCAAAAGGTTAAGTTCAATTAATAGGAAACATTACTATACTACAACATATAGTGGTAAACAAATAATAGGAAACAGACTTAGACAAATTTGAACTACTAAGTAGGAATAAGCCCAGAATTATTATGCAGTTTTCATTGGTCAAATATAGTTCTGAACTTTCTGTGTTATATTATATATACAAGGGTGTGTTACGCCATAACAAGGCTTACTGTGTATGTGCAAGGTTAAAAAAATAAATGTCAGCTCTATGTTAAATGTAATACGGAGTATATAATAATGAATTTGCTCTTGAATATTGTTTTCTTGTACTGTGTGACCAAGTTCATGTGTTGTTTAAAATTATTGATAAACCAGAACTAGAATCCAAAGATTTGCTTTACAAAATACAAAATGCTCACCATGAAAATTAGAAGTTTATAATTTACAACAGCTTACTATTGTGCCCATAAAGTTTACATACAAAATTTAAGTTTCAGAACATGCAAAATAAATTCCATAACATACATAAACTTCATACTGAAAGTGTAAATCAATTTCATTTTCATTTTCAATGTCAAAATCATAATTGGTCATTAAAATAAATTTCACAACATTTAAAATCCAATAGAAATTTAATTTTAAGATAAGTCAACAACAAGAGAAGCTTAATCAAACTCTGAAAATATTATATGCTTAAGAGAAGGGTAAAAATTGATAAAAGCATAAGGATGTGAAACCTAGGTATCAATTAGTCATGCCGAACATGAATCTGAGAAGCTGCGAATTAGAGACAAATTAGAGAACTAGCCAATCCAAGAAGAACTGGAGACTCAACGAATCCAAGAAGAATACCAGAAACCTATGAATCGATGAAAGTTTGAAAGTGTGAATCCATCAAGAAAGCCAAGCGCAGACTCATCCCAACATGTGCCGGCTCTGGAGAGGGAACCCTAAGTAAATTGAAAGTTAAAAAAAAACCAATATAGTAATCCTATTAATTGACCGGGAAAAGGCCGCCTTTTGTACGTGAGTAGTGCCGGAAATCGAGCACTTTGTGTTTAATCACTCGCCGGAGATTTCTCACAGGTCGTGGAAAAGTCGTCGTTCGCTTTTTAGCAGGGATGGATAGATTCGAAAATTAAAAGGTAAGGAAAACTCACAATGAGGTCCTCGAAGCCCGGGACGGGTACCATAGCTCTAGAACTCTGCCCTTTGTCCTTCCTTGGAGCCATTGTTGATGATTTTGAGCTTGAAATCCAAAAATTTGAATGGGGGTAGGGTATTTTGGATTTGGTGGATATTTCGGGAAAAAGGGAATTTTTGGGTATAGATATGGAGAGGAGAGTGAGGGGAGTATTTTGGTGGAGGAATGGGTTGATTTGGTGGAGAATTGAGAGAGATATGGTAGAGAGAAGGGTTGAAAATGGAGTTTGGGGGAGAGGGTGTTCGAAATTTTAGGGAGAGTTGGGGAAGATGAAGTGTTTTTGGGGTGTTTTTGGGGTTATATCCGCAGGGGTACCCGATCGAGTATCCCCGTATACCCGATCGGGTACCGGAGACAGGGGTTGGGCAAGTGGTTTTTCTGAGTATACTCGACCGAGTATGAACATGTACTCGATCGAGTACTGGAGACAGGCTTTTTTATCTTCTCATTTCAGCTCATACTTGACCGGGTACAGTAATATACCCGATCGAGTATGCCTCTTTTTATCAAAAAATTTGGAAAATTCGATCGAGTACTGAACTCGGGTTCTTCTTTTCAGTAATACCCGCCCGAGTATGTATCTATACTCGACCGGGTATATCCCCAGGTATCATTTTTTTTTTAAACTCACACACTCTACTTGATAAAATGGTACAGAAAACATACCTTGCTTGGGTTGCCTCCCAAGAAGCGCTTTGTTTAACGTCGTGGCTCGACGATATCTTCGTTTCTTCTTTATTCATAGACCGGTGCAGAAAGGTCTATGATCTCCACGTTCTTGGGTTGAAAACCCTCAAAGAAGGGTTTTAGTCTCTGTCCGTTCACTTTGAGCACTTCTCCCGTCTCCGGGTCTTCAATTTCCACCGCCCCGTGTGGATAGATTTTGACCACTTTGTATGGTCCGGTCCAACGGGATCTCAACTTCCCCGGGAATAGACGAAGGCGTGATTGGAATAGGAGGACTTTGTCATCAAGTTTAAAATCCTTCCTTATGATCATTTTATCATGCCATTCCTTCGTCTTTCTTTTGTAAATCTCCGCATTGTCATAAGAATCCAGGCGGAGCTCTTCCAATTCTTGTAATTGGAGCTTCCTGTGTGTACCGGCCTCGTCAAGATTGAGGTTGAATTCTTTCACCGCCCAATATGACTTGTGTTCAAGCTCTACGGGAAGGTGACAAGCTTTTCCGAACACAAGTCTATAAGGTGACATACCGATTGGGATTTTGTAGGCGGTTCGGTATGCCCAAAGTGCATCATCAATGCGAATACTCCAATCCTTCCTGTTCGGGTTCACTGTTTTCTGGAGTATGGATTTCAACTCCCTATTCGAGGTTTCCGCTTGGCCATTGGTTTGAGGGTGGTAAGCGGTGGAGATCTTGTGAGTCACACCATATTTCTTGAGTAAGAATCCCACAATTTTATTACAAAAATGTGTGCCTCGATCACTTATTAAAATTCGAGGGACCCCGAACCTTGAAAATATGTGTGATTTGAGGAAACTTGCTACTATCTTGGCATCATTAGTTTTTGTTGCTTTTGCCTCCATCCATTTGGAGACGTAATCTACCGCAAGTAGGATGTAGATGTTACCTTGAGAGTTTGGGAAAGGTCCCATGAAGTCAATACCCCATGCATCGAAAATCTCACAGAAAAGCATGGGGTTTTGTGGCATCTCGTTCCTCCTTGAAATGTTGCCCGCTCTTTGGCAATTGTCACAAGGTTGAAAAAAGCCATGTGCATCCCGGAATAGACTCGGCCACCAAAAACCACTTTCAAGAATTTTCATTGTCGTCCGTTTCGGGCCGAAATGTCCTCCACAAGCATAAGAATGGCAAAACTCTATAATGTGAGCTATCTCATATTCGGGGACACATCTTCGGATTATTTGGTCCTTACAATGTTTCCACAAATATGGGTCATCCCACACATAGAGTCTTGAGTCCATTTTTAATTTTTCTTTTTGAGTTTTTGAGAATTGTGGAGGAAATTTGCCGGAAACGAGGAAGTTTACAATGTTAGCGTACCATGGCTGTATGACTTTGATGGAGAAAAGGGGTTCGTCCGGGAATTCGCCTTTGATGAGATTTGTGTGAAGATCTTCAATGTCTTTGTGAGGAATGAGTCGGCTTAAATGATCGGCCACCAAGTTCTCTGCTCCTTTCTTGTCTTTTATCTCCAAATCAAACTCACTTAATAGAAGGACCCATCGAATGAGTCTTGGTTTGGCCTCTTTCTTTGTCATGACGAAACGGAGGGCGGCATGGTCGGTGTAAACAATAACTTTCGTTCCAAGAAGGTAGGAACGAAATTTTTCCAAAGCAAAGACTACCGCTAGCATTTCTTTCTCGGTGGTGGAGTAGTTCTTTTGAGCTTCATTTAAAGTCGAGGTGGCATAGTAGATTACATGAGAAGCCCTCCCGACTTTTTGGCCTAAAACAGCCCCCACCGCATAATCACTTGCGTCACACATGATCTCAAAAGGAAGAGACCAATCGGGGGCTTGTATGATGGGGGCGGTTACCAACCTTGCCTTCAAAGTGTCAAAAGCTTCCTTACATTCGGCATTGAGATCAAATTCCACCTCCTTTTGCAAAAGTTTGCATAAGGGAGATGAGATTTTGGAGAAGTCTTTGATGAACCTTCTGTAGAAACCGGCATGTCCAAGGAAAGAGCGAATGTCCCGTACATTTGTTGGGTACGGGAGTGTTTGGATGACATCAATCTTGGCCTTGTCTACTTCAATGCCTTTTGAAGAGATCACATGCCCAAGAACAATCCCTTGTTCCACCATAAAGTGGCATTTTTCAGAATTTAGGACAAGGTTGGATTCAATGCAACTTTTTAGCACAAGAGTGAGATGGTAGAGGCAAGTGTCAAAAGAGTCCCCATGAATTGTAAAATCATCCATAAAGACCTCCATGAATACCTCCACAAATTCGGAGAAGATGCTCATCATACACCTTTGAAAGGTGCCCGGTGCGTTGCATAATCCAAAGGGCATTCGTCGGTAGGCAAAAGTGCCAAATGGACATGTGAAGGTTGTTTTCTCTTGGTCCTCCGGGGCTATTGGTATTTGGAAATACCCGGAGTAACCATCAAGAAAACAAAAGAACTTGTGCCCCGCTAGTCTCTCTAGCATTTGATCAATGAAGGGCAATGGAAAGAAGTCTTTTCTAGTTACCGAATTGAGCCTTCGGTAGTCAATGCAAACTCGCCACCCGTTTTGAATTCGGGTGGGTACCATCTCGCCTTCTTTGTTCTCAATGACCGTCACTCCGGTCTTCTTTGGCACCACTTGGGTTGGACTCACCCATTTGCTATCAGAAATGGGAAAGATGATTCCCATTTGAAGCAACTTGATCACCTCCTTTTTCACCACCTCCATCATGGGTGGGTTCAATCTTCTTTGCGGTTACCTTGACTGGCACAGCGTCCTCTACTTCGTAGGGTAATCACCACTTTCTCTGCCCCGCTCGCAGGGATCTAATTTGATTGACAGACCGAGAAGAGTAGGATTCTCGATTCCTATAGACCATCCAATGGCCAACTTGTACTCCTTGAGGACCGCAATCAATCTTTCCTCTTGTTCTTGGGCCAAGGCATTTGAGATAATCACCGGTAGAGTGTGATTTTCTCCCAAGAACACATGTTTCAAATTTTTAGGGAGTGGTTTTAATTCCACCTCCGGTGCCTGCAAAACAGATGGTAGCGGCTTCTCGCTTGGGATGGTTAGTGGGAGGGCTTTAGAGCCCGGTGGCAAAAGTGGGAGTTGATTTAACTCCGCCACTATAACTTTCATGTTATTTGACATAGAGTATTCCAAAGTGAAATCCTCTACATCATTCTCAATTGAGCTTAATATTTCATCTTTTCCCTCAATTTCAAATACATCTTGGACCCAAGTGTCACAAGTATCAATGGCAAAAAGAGAGTGATTATCGGTGGGATATTTCATGGAGTCATAGATATTAAAATCAACTTTCTCACCATCGAACTCCATGGTTAGTATTCCACTAAAAACATCAATTTTTGCTTTGGCCGTCTTTAAAAAGGGTCTTCCTAGTAAAATAGGGACTGCATTTTTATCGTTCTCCATTTCGAGAACGTAAAAATCAGCGGGAAAAATTAAATTATCCACCATGACGAGTACATCCTCTACTACACCTTTCGGGTAAGCATTGGATCTATCAGCAAGTTGGATAACAACCCCCGTTTCATGTAAGGGGTCTAGTTCTAGGGACTTATATAGAAAATATGGGATGACATTGATTGATGCTCCCAAATCTAACATAGCCCTAGAAAAACTAGAATTTCCAAGTTTACATGGTATAGTGAACATTCCCGGGTCACTATACTTTTTAGGCAATTTCTTTTGAAAAACGGCCGATACTCTTTCACTCACTTGGATTTTATGCTTTCCATTTAATTTGTGTTTCCGTTTAATTGTACAAAGCTCTTTTAAAAACTTTGCAAATCTAGGAACACCTTTAATCAAATTGAGAAGAGGGATATTTACCTCACATTTTCTGAAGGGCTCATAGATGTCCTTGTCATTGTTGTATTTGCGGTTGTCCTTGAGAGCCTCCGGGAAAGGTGGCACCGGCTCGTATGAGTTGAGCGGTGGAAACTTTCTTTGAGGTGTGATTTCCTCCTCCTTCTCCTCTTCATTTTGAGGATTTGTGCTTGGCACAAAGATATCCTCCTCTTCCTCTCCAACATGGCTCTTTGCTTTTGCCTTAGCCATAACCAATTCTTTGCCACTTCTCAAAGTGACCGCGTGAGCTTGTTGCCTTGGATTCGGCTCCGTTTGAGATGGGAGTTTTGCCGAATCCTTAGCTTCAAGCCTACTCACGGCATTTGAGATTTGGCTCATTTGGTTTTCCAAATTGTGGATGCTTGATTTGGTCGTTTCTTGGAATTGGGTCACACTTTGTTGCATCGTAGCCATGTTCATGGCAAGTGATCGAATCATGTCTTCGGTGGACATGCTCGAGTTCGATGTTTGACCTTGTTGTTTATATTGTTGAGGGGGAGGGTTTGATTGTTGAGGAGGTTGAGAGTTTCCGTACCTTAAGTTGGGATGATCCCTCCACCCCGGATTGTAAGTGTTGCCGTGAGGATCATATCTTCTTTGACCTTGGAAACCCAAAGCATTGACTTGCTCGGGGTTCTCCTCTTGAAGTGTTGGGCAGGAATCGGTGGGATGCCCTTGTGTCGAGCATAT